CAACATTATTTTAGTTTTAGGTGTACAACCTAGTGAATAGACATTTATGCAACTTATGAAGTGATCATCCTGATAAATTTAGTACCCATCTCAAACCATGCATAGTTACTGCAATATTATTGACTATATTCTCTATGCTGTACTTTACATCCCTGTGACTATTTTTTAGCTACCAGTTTGTACTTTTTAGTCCCTTTCCCTTTTTTACCCATTCCCCCAATACATTTGATAACCATCAAAATGTTCTCTGTATTTATGAGTTTGTTTCTGTTTCATTTGTTTATTTTATGTTTTAGATTCAGCATGAAAGTAAAATCATGTGACCTTTGTCTTTCTCTGTCTGACTTACTTCACTAAGCACAATATCCTCTAGGTCTATCCATATTGTTGCCGATGGCAACATTTCATTCCTTTTTATTGCTGGGCCATATTTTTTGTCTATATGACCATCTCTTCTTCGCCCTTTCATCTTTTGATGAACGCTTAGATTGCTTTCATATCTTGGCTATTGTAAATAATGCTGCAATGAACATAAGCATGCAGATGTCTTTTCAAATTAGTGTTATGGGCTTCTATGGATAAATACACAAAGGTGCAATTGCTGGGCCCTTCTTTGTCTCTTTTTACAGCCTTTGTTTTAAAGTCTATTATGTCTGATATAAGTTAATACTTATACTACCCCACGTTACTTTTCTTTTGCATTTCATGAAATATATTTTTCCATCTTTTTACTTCCAGTCTGTGTGTGTCTTTTGATCTGAAGTGAATGTAGACTGTATATGTAAGGGTCTCATTTTCTTATTCATTTAGCTACCTTATTTCATTTCTTTTTTTTGTCATATTACTGTCCAATGACGCTGCATAAAACTTTTTATTTGATGATCTCTTTTATTTATTTACATTTTTTAATTTAAAAAAATTTTTAAAAGTCATGTTTATTCTATTACGGTTGTCTCAGTTTTTCCCCCATTGCCCTCCTCCACCCATCCCAGCCCATTCCCACTCCCACAGTCAATTCCCACTCTGTTGTCCATGTCCACGGGTCATTCATACATGTTCTTCGTTTAGTCCCTTCTCCTTCTTTCCACCATTGTCCTCTTTCCCCATCCCCTCTGGTCACTTTCAGTCTGCGCCATGATTCCATGATTGTGGTTTATTTTGTCCGTTAGTTTATTTTGTTGAATAGATTCCACTTATGGGTGTGATCATATGGTATTTGTCTTTCACTGACTGGCTTATTTCACATAGCATAATGTTCTCCAGTCCAGCCATGTTGTTGCCAAAGGTAGGAGTTCCTTCTTTCTTTTCTTTAAATGAAGATTTTACTTATTTATTTATTTAAATGTTAAAATCCATTATAAAATATGAAAAAATTTAAATCCACTGTAAAGTCTCAGCAATTAAACCGACATGACAGCAGCACAGAAATAGTCAAGTAGATCAATGAAATAAAATGAGCATTCTAGAAACAAACATATATATTTGTCTAACAATGTAATATGTGATTAAATTGATATTTTAAATCAATGGGGAAAATAAGGCTTATTCAACAAATAAGGTGCATGGACCACTATTACTTGAAATAAAACAAATATAGAGCCCTATTTCACACATTATACAAAAAATATTCAGGTGGGTTAAAAATCAATATGTAAAATCTTCTAAGGAGTTTTAGGATAAAATACAAAATAATTTTTTTTACCCTCAAGTGAAATATTCAAACCCAGGAGCTATAAAGTAAAATATTGACAATATGATCATATTAAACATTTAAGACTATATAGTAATATACATATAAAAATGTTAAAAGACAAATAATAGAATAGGAAAGTATTGGCAACACATCTAAAAAAAAGGGTTAATAGGGTTTTTTTTAGGGAAAAAATTCTTCAAACATTTAATGAAAAAATGGATAAAGAATACCAAAACGTCATTTAAAGCTTCTTAAAAATAATAGAAAGAGGCAAGAAATCTACAAAAACAGGTTTAGTTTCAACAAATAATAAAGTAACAATTAAAATAACATCATTGTCACAATCAGATTAATAAGTATTAAAAAACATTGGTAATATCGAGTATAGGTGACTGTGAAAGGAACTGGGTATTCATAGACTCTTTTTCTTCATCTTCTTAAAGCAGTCCCTTTAGCATATTTTGCAGTGCTGGTTTGTGGAGGTGTATTCTTTTAGCCTTCCTTTGTCTGCGAAAATCTTTATTTTGCCTTCCATGTTAATTGAGAGCCTTGCTGGGTAGAGCAGTCTTGGTTGCAGGCCTTTGCTTTTCATGACTTGGAATATTCCTTGCCATTTCCTACTGGCTTGTAGTGTTCCGTTGAGAAGTCAGCTGCTAGCCATATCAAGGCTCCCTTGTATGTGACTACCTGTTTCTCCCTTGCTGCCTTTAGGATTCTCTCTCTTTGATATTTGCCATTTTAATGATGATGTGCCTTGGAGTGGGCTTCACTAGGTTCCTCTTGAATGGGACCCTCTGTGCTTCCTGGACTTGTGTGACTTTTTCTCTCCTCAAATTAGGGAAGTTTTCCATCATCATCTTTTCAAACAGGCTCTCCATCCCTTCCTCCTCCTCCTCCTCTCCTTCTGGTATCCCTGTTACATGGATATGATTATGTTTCGGGCTGTCCTGCATTTCCCTCAATGCCTCTTCATTCTTTTGGGGTCTTTTTTCATTTTCTTGCTCTTTCTGGGAGCTTTTTTCTACCTTATCCTCCAGCTCACTGATTCGATCCTCTGCTTCATCTAGCCTGCTTTTGATTCCTTCTACTGTGTTGTTCAACTCAGAAACTGTATTCTTCATTTCCTCTTGCCTCTTATTGATAGTTTATATGTCCTTTTTTCATGGTGATATAGTTTACAGTAAGTTCCTTGTAGTTTCCCTGTAGCTTTTTGTAATTCTCTCTGAGCTCACTGAGCTCATTGAGCTTCCTTAGAACCATTGTTTTGACCTCAATATCTCACAGTTTACTTGCCTCTATTTAATTTTGCTCTCTTTCTGGGGATCCCTCCTTTCCTTTTGATTGGGGGATGTTTCTTTGTCTTCCCATTATTTGTGAGACTCTTCTTTTTTGCTTCTGATTCTTAGATTGATCTGTCTTGATTTCCTGACTTTATGGTGTGGAGCCACCCTATTTCTTTTCAATGAAGATTTAATACATTTACATTTAAACTAATTGTTAATAATTATGTTTCAGGCATTACATTATTCATATTTTTACTTTTTTCTTTCTTTTTAACATTTAATTGAATTTATGGGTTCATAAAATTATATAGGTTTCAGGGGTTCAAGTTAAATCTCCTTCCTATAAGCTATAAGCTTGGTGCTGTTCCACAGGTATTTTTTATTTTTATTTTTATTTTTTGGTTGTTCTGACCAGGTCTTTTCTGCGATCTTGTCTTCTAAATTTCTTCCAAATCCCCTGCTTCATCTAATCTACTGTTGATTCCCGCTAATGAATTCTTCATTTCAGTTATTGTATTCTTCATTTATGACTGGTCCTTTTTTATGTTTCTACCTCTATTTTTATGTTTCCTATTTCTTTGTTGAAATTCTCACTGAGATCACTGAGCATCCTTATAACCAGTGTTTTGAACTCTGCATCTGGAAGATTGCTTATCTTTGTTTAGTTTAGCTCTTTTTCTAAAGTTTTGTTCTTTAATTTGAGGCAGATTTTTATGTCTCCTCATTTTAGCCTCCTGTGTTTGTTTCTATGAATTAGGTAGAGCTGTTACATCTCCCAGTCTAGGTAGAGTGGCCTTATATAGCAGATGTCCTGTGGGGCGCAGTGGTGCAGCCGCCCAGGACACCCAAGCCCAGTTGTCCAGGGGTACGCCCCAAGCATGTGAGCTGTGTGTGCCCTTATTTGTACTTGAACTTTGACTGCTGATAGTACATCTGTGGGAGGGATTTACCCCCAGGCTGACCAGCTGCCAGTACTGGCCACAGCTACAGAGGAGAACTTGTTGTACAGGGAGCAAACCCTACAGAGCAAGACTTGCTCTAGAGGGGTCTGGTACCTGCTGAATCTTCCCCTTGAGTGTGCTGCTCATGGAGGTGGTTGGTGGTGCTCCAGTGTGGTCTGAAGCTGGACACCAGGTGATCTGGCTCAGGGGCCTCCCTAGAGGTGCAGGCAGAGGTAAGTCGCCACATATGCCCTGCTCAGGGCCAATTAGCCTAGGCACAAATTGACCTGCAAATGAGTGCCACTTGTACGAGGCTTGCAGGTCTCTGGGAGAGGCGAAGCTGCCCACCAAGGCTTGCTGCTGCTAATGCCACACCTGGGGCTGCCTAGCAAGAGGTACAGGACATGCCAAGGCCATATGTGGTGTGTGCGTGTTTGTGAGCCTTTGAGAGATTTTAGGAAAGTCCATAGCATGAGCCAAGATTGACTTCAGCTTTGATTCATTGTGTTCGTTGCCTGTGGATGCTGCTTCTTCTCTTAACTGTAATACATGCAGCAGACACCAAGGAGTTTCATCTGAAGCTTCGGAAGCACTCGACACATGGGGGTGGTTCTCTTCTAGGGGGGTCGCTGGAAGGGGGATGGTCCCTGTAACAATGCTCTTTTCAGGCTGAGAGAGAGCGGAGTAACTTGCCCTAAACCATACACCTGTACATAATGAATCTGCTATCTGGTCCAAAGCCCATACAATTCTCCGGATACCCCAATGCACGCCCACAGCTTTGTAGTGACAACACCACATTCCTCTTCCTAATCCGCAATAAACCAGACAGCTCAGAGTGTTTTGTATATTTCTCTTCTTTTTACTCTAATACAATTGACAATAATAATCTACAAACTGCAGAAAGGGGCATGGTCTCCATCTACCCACCCCATCAGACATCATTTTCATTCATCGGACCCCATCCTCCCCCCTTCCCTTAAAATCCTGGATGAAAATCCATGAGCAGATGCAGGACACGCAGAAAGAAGAATCGCCATCCCAGGTTTCCTTAGCAGGTGAAGGCATTCAGGAAATACTGTAAATTAGGGTAGAGGAGGCTTCTAGCTGGCTGTGTCCAGCTTTATCTCACAGACCCAGCGGAAGGGCTTTGTGCAGTCATTATCATTCCAGCGGCCACTATCGGTGAAGTGGGCACAGTCCTCGCTTTCCCCGGACTGATGTCCACGCCAATTGTCTGGCTGTTCCGGACTCCAGAAACTAAGGATATCAAACAGATGTGGGCCCAGGAAGCCAAACCGTCAGCCAACCCGAGCAGCCCATTTTGCCCTTGAACGCGCCCAGCAGAGACAACAGGACCCAGTTAGAGGCACAGAGGGCAGAGGGCACACTCACTTGAAGCCCGTCTCGTAGTCTGTCCCGTCCACCCACGTCCAGGGACCATGTTGGTCAGTGAGGCCAATCCAGGTGTTCACATAGGATGTGTGTTCTTCGAGAAACTTCTGGGGAGAAAAGAGGAGGGTGGTAGCCTCTTTGTACACAAAACAGCCTCCCAGACAAGCCCTCCCAGCCCTCACCTGTTCCTCCCAGGAGCCGACCACCACCAGGTGCGCGTTCTGCAGCTGGCAGGACTCCTCAGCCTCGGGCCAGGGCTTCTTAGTCCCAGAGAACAAGTAGCAGCTGCCTTCATGCTCCAGCCAGTTGACGGGGCAGCAGGTCTTCTGGGAGCCTGCAGGGAGGGTGTGGGGAGGGTGTGAGATGCTGCCCAGTGGGACTAGGGCTGGGTACGGGGCGAGGCACTCCCTGCACACCACTCACCATTGCTCTTGAGCTCAGCCATCTGACTGTTCAGAGAGTTCTGGTATTTGGCCACCTCCTGGACACGCAGGACCAAGTCAGAATAGCCTGAGATACACAACGAAGGTCAGTGGGACAGTCCAGGGGCCCAGCCCAGACCCTCCCGCCCTCCCTCCACATCAGGCCCCGTGGAGGGGAGAAGGGGCCTGACCTGCTTTGAGTTCCTGCTGCCCTTTCTCCAGCTGGCTCTCCAGGGAGAACACCGTGTCATTCAAGCTGCGGGCTGGAGGGAGGGCACTCAGCACCCCAGGCTGCTCCCGCCCCACCTCTGTGCTCAGAGCCCGGCCCCCACCCTCGCGCCCACGCTGCTGGAGAGTCTCCCACCTGCCTGCAGCTGCTGCCCCTGCTTTTCCACCTCCACTTGCAGGGATGTTATCGTTTCTCGCAAACGGCCACCTGGAGGACACTGGGGCTTTGCTGAGGGTTCAGCTCCCACCTCCTCCGCCCACCACCCATCCGCGTCCAGAGCCCCCCTCCTGCCAGGCTCACCCTGGGCGTGCAGTGCCTGGACCTCCGCCACAGTGTGCGAAGTGACGTTGCTGCAAGTTGCTCTCAGAGTCTCCAGGTCCCTCTGAATCTTGGAACCTGATCAGGCAGACAGGACACTGAGCGCTACGCGTCAGCAGGTGCCCTCCGTGCTGGCACGGAGCAGGGCACTTGACATGCATGGTCTCATTGGGTCCTCACTGCCACCCAAACCAAAGGGACAGGCACTGTTGTTGCCCAAGCTTGCAGAGGAGGAAACTAAGGCTGAGAAGGTTAGGTAATTTGACTGTATTGCCCATTATCCATCACAATCATCATCAGTGCCCGCGTCACTGAGCCCCACTATTGCCCCTGCCCCCGCCCGCCCTGCGACCCTCACTTTTGGATCCGATCACACAGATGCCAACCAGCAGGAGGAGGCTGAGGCCCAGGGAGAGCAGGAGGGGGCGGGGTCCAGAGCAGAGATGCTGCAGGAGGACCTGGGGCGCAGGCAGCCCTGCAAGAGGGGAGACTTCAGGACAAGGGGGACCAGGACGGGAGAGAGCCAGCGCAGGGGCGAGGCCGCAGGGACCTGTCAGGGAGGAAGGCTGGTGCAGGTGGAGCTGGGGGAGGCTGAGGTGCCGGGGATGCCCAGGCCTCTGACCGCTCAGGGACCACCACAGTCCTCGGACACGGGGCCCCTCACCCCCCGTGACGCGTGATGGTGATGATACGTAAGGTCTTCTCATCAGGGCTGGGAGGGGAGCAGGAGGAGAGAGTCGGGACAGCCAGGCTCTCTGTAGGCCCCTGCTCACCTGTATCGTCAGCTTAGCCAATGTTTCCTTCCCAGACGCGACTGTTCAGTCCCCCAGGGCAGACACTCAGCCCTGCCCCAGAGAATGGGCCAGCAGGCCCTCTGTGGGCCTCCCTGATCCTGTCACCTGAAGACCTTGAACGCTCTTCATGCTGGAGCCCCGGGGGTCGGTGCTTGACCCTTCAGAGTGGGGACCCCAGCAGCGCACATGCTGTGCAGATATGCGTGAGAGCAGGTCCTTTCAACATATTATGAGGGTGTTTTGGAGACACCTTTCTCCTTCTTACCATTTTTAAGCCCCTGGCTTTTCTCCTCTCTCTCCAAGGACTGGAGGTCTTCGTACTTCATTGCCATGCTTGGACCCACTCCGAGGCTCTCAGAGCTGAAATGGAGGCAGGGCCAGAGAGCAGGGTGGGCCTGGAATTAGGGGACAGGGGAGGCTGGGACTAGGTTGGAGGTGAGGTCAGGGCTGGAGTTGAGGTAAGAGCAGAAATTCAGGTTGAGTGTGAGGCCAGGGTTAGGACTAGGAATGGGATTGGGCCTGGGTTTGCAGCTGGGGTCAGAAGTGGGGTCAGGACTGGCCTTTGGGCCGTGGTAGGGTTGCGTGTGGGATAGGAGGTGGAGGTGAAGTTGCAGCCACATGTACTACAAGGACTGGATCCAACACTGGAGTTGCAGTCGAGGTTGCATTTCCCCTTAGCACCGGGGTCAGTCCTCCTGTTGATGCCATAGATAGAGTGGGGCCTACACTTTGCCTTGAAGTTGGAAATAGAAGAGGCTTGAGGATCATCTTTGGGTTGGGGCTGGTGTTAAGATTCAAGTTGACTCTGGGGTTGAAGCTCTGGTTGGAGATTAAGGGACGAAGCTGGTGTAATATTAGAGTTAGCGGTGTGGATACTCAGGGGGCTGAAGACAGGGCTGGAGGTGGGGCTGAGTGTGAATCTCAGTGTGAGACTCAGGTTTGGCTGCCATACTTCAATCCAAATCCAGGCAAGTGAATAGAAACTCCGCTTGGTCATTACATCTCCCAACTGCCATTTTACATCTTTTCCTATTTGTCCCACTTGAGACCCACAGCCCCCTTTCCTGCTCTCTCTGACTCCCGCCCTGCCCCCTTGGTCTCACCTGCGTCCCCAGCCCAGTTACCTGTGCAAAATCTGGAGGCTGTGATTCTGCGGTTTGTTGGGCAGCAGTGAGTAGCGTCGGATGAAACGAAATCCTGGAGAGTGGGCTAGAGGAGGCCGAGGGAGGAGTCGCGTAAGTGCCTGGAGTCCTGCTGGTCACTGCCTGAAAGGTCAGGAGCTATAATCTGGGATCCCCCGCGTCCTTGACATAGGGCAGTAAATGATAACAGGAGCACCGGCGATGACTGTCGTGTGAGGATGTTATATACGGGGCCAGCTCTGCTCTCCTCCTCCAGGGTGTGTCTCATCCTTCTCAGCTTCTGTGGCGCTCCCTTGACTTCCTCATTGTTACCGTTAGGAGGGGGGAGTTTGCTCCAAAGGGCCCACAGATGGAGTTTGTTCTTTCTTCTCTGCCCCACTCCCCTTTCGCTTCCTACATGAGAATTTCTCAGAACTAATGGTGTCTCTACCACTCCACACCCAGATCCAGAGGAGCCTTTTTCTCTGGTCTTGCTCGATTGCGACCTGAGTCCCCTGGCCCCTGAGCGTCCTCTGGGGCCTCAGACACTAGGCACCCCTGGCTCTGGCCTAGCTCTCGTCACTACCCGGTAGGATAGAAGAGGGTGAAGGAGCTTCGTCCTGGCCAGACTGGGATGGGAGGAGCTGGGGACAGGAACCTACTTTAATGAGCACCACATCTGGGATCAGGATTTTGCCAGGCACTTGCTGTACAGTGACCATTCGGTTCCCACAAGAACCACGGGACACGTTTTGGATGATGGACTGAGGCTCGCGGCCGTTGCCTGACCTGCTCCAGATCACTCGCCTGGTAAGCAGAAGAGCCGGGCTTCACGCCTGCTGCTTCCCGATACATAATATCACATGGTGATAAGTGCTACCTTGCTCTGGGCTCTCTGCACGTGCACTGTCTTCGTGAAAGGGGTTCGCTTTCATCCCGGACACTCTGCAGATCTCTCATACACGCTATCCTTTCTACAGGAAGGAACTTTGGTGTCTTAAACGCAGAGAAGGAAGCAAATCAATTTTACATTATATTTTCTATATAAATGGGACTGTGGTACCTGCTTTTCTAATTCGTTAACAGTGTATGGGGACCATTTCTTAGCATCAGTTTATAATACATCCTGTATTGATTTCTCGTCTCCATTTCACTTCATAGTGTTCACGGTAACTTGTTTGCTAAGAGTTCACTATTGATGGACATTGTTTTCCTGTTCTGCTTTTACGTGGCATTTGGTATTCTGATTAGTTTTTGTCTGAAGTTGGGGTGCAAGCTATTCCTTGGGGACCAGCCCCTGTGAAAGGAAGGGGAAGAAGGCAGGGTGGGCAGAGGGAGAAGGCAGTCAGCTGTGAGGACCCCGCAGACCTCGGCCAAGCCAGCAGCGGGTTCCCACAGCAGTGCCTGTCGGAAGTGCCAGCCCGCACTGGGCTGAACCTGGGCCTTTAATAGCCACGTCGCTCAGTCACCAGATGGGGTCACCCCACCAGGGTGTCTGCACGGGCCACACTCCCCTCACTGGGCACCGTGGCCTTCCTGGAAGGGAGGGTATCTGGGTAGCTTCTCTCTGTGCTGAACGCAGTACTGCATTGTGCTCCCACGTTAACTTGGGCACAATCCACCACTTTGCAGTGTCGAATCGTTGCCACAGAGAACAGGATATGTTTCTCAGTTTGCTCACACATGCATTTAAGCCCCCTCTCAACAAATACTTATTGAGCGTTTACAGTATGCCAGGCAGTCTCCTTCAGGAGATGCAGATTTAAGATGTGAACAGACAGACAAACAAGGCCCTGCTCCCATAGAATTTACATTCCAGTCAGTGACAGACACAATATTGAGTAAATATATACATAATATCACATGGTGATAAGTGCTATGGAAGAAAAATATAACAGTGAAGTTAGTGGGGTCAGTTTTTAAGGGGCCATGAAGAAGAGAGTGTCAAAGGGGTCCTCCAAGCAATTACCAGAATAGAGAGAGGGAGGGAATGAGGGATTGGAGAACGCTCCAGAAGGCCAGGCCTAGCAGAACCTATCCTATCACAGGCCACCGTACCCACCTTGTTACGTGTGGAGACCCTGTGGGCATTGACCGCAGCGTTCAGATCCGCCTGTACAGGGAGAAGTGATGGAGGGTGCTCACAACCGGGGTGCAGGAGAACGAGGTTGACCAATGAGACAGAACATGTATCAGGGCTATAGCCCGCAATTCCCTAGGGGCCTTCCTCCCGAAAGACAGTCTACAGAGGACAGCAATGAAGAAGATAAGGAAAATTAAGAGCTGAAACCCAAGGTCAGCAGCCACTTCAACGCTGGTATCACTGCAACTTCAATTACCAACACAGATGCTCAGTAAACCATAAACCACAGGATAGGAAGGAGACCAAAGCAGCTGATGCACCAGCTGAGGATTTGTCGGAGTCCCAAGGCTGAGCAGGGGGACAGCTGAGTGAATACTGTCTTACCATCTCTACTATCATCCATTTAAGTTATACAACAAGAAGAAATGAATTCAAAACTTCAGCAATCAGCAATGAACAAAAGTTTGGAATTGAAAATCTTAAGCTCTTGCTTCTTGATTGGTGACCAGATAATTAGAACTATCTGTATTATGTATATAGCATGGGGCTTTTATTATTTTTACTTAAAGATATATCTTTTGGGTAATGACAAATGTGTTTTTTTAAGCCTGGTTTTTCCTCAATACATCTTTAAAGGTTTTTAAGTTGTTTCCTATTTGGTCAGGTTGAGATTTTTAAGAACCTCAAAAGGTTATTTATTCTTAAAGATAGGGCAAGGGAGAGAGAAGTGAGGGAGAGAAACCACAGTGTGTGTTTGCCTCTCGCACGCCCCCAACTGGGGAACGCGGCCCGCAACTCAGCCATGCACTCTGACTGGGAATCGAACTGGTGACCCTTTGGCTCTCTGGCCAGCACTCAACCCACTGCGCCACACCAGCCAGGTCAGTTTAGCCGTAGTTTTGAGGAGGTCGTGCCAGGAGGTGAGCCGTGTTTACCTACGCCGCCATCCTGACCAGGAGTCCTCAAGCATTTCCCATAAACTGCTGACTCCCTAGGAAATACAACTTATTCCCAATTTTTGTAATGCCAATTTCTAAAGATATGTCATTACACTGTGTGACTATAGTGATCATGGAGGAGAAGTTCTGTTTTGCCCTCATGATTTCATGGATAAAAACTTGCCAACACTGGCAATCTCGGGGATTTAAAAAAATTTTTTTTTGAGTACCCAGTGTGGTTTGTTCGGTAAGCCTGTCCCCACAAGGTCTGCTTCCCTTGTAACTTCTTTGCAAGTAACCTTCTTTTCTCTCCCTGATGCTTTTGGCTCTGACACTTCTTTCATGGTCGGCAACCCTGGCTTCCTCCTTCCACCGCATTTTCCATGGTTTCTTACACTCTCCCAGCACCTCAGCTGGTCAGGATTTGTTACCTGGTGATGTGACCCAAAATTTCATTTCTATAGCATCCAAGTCTTTAGTGGTCCTATCTCTACAGGGTCACCATGACTGGCCATAGATCACGATACCACTGCACACGGGGGTGCGTTAAGCACCCCAGGGATCTCATGGACTTCAGGTTCGGTCCTCTTTCCCCCATCATGAAGCAGCAGGCCCATTTCCTTTCTTAACCACAATCAATCACTCCCAAGAGTGCAATTAACCCTACCCCTTACCTGGTGTTTTATGAGGAGCCCAAACATACCAGCAATCTGTCTCACCTTCAAACTTAAACAAAGCCAAGGCCGTCTCCCCGCCCCCGCCCCTCCGCGGTGGCTGGGTTCTTCCTTGAGCACTAAAACTTCCAATATCCAGTGATTCCAGATTGTGCAGATGAAGAGCTAAACTTCCATGCATTGATCTAGCCATTGACTGAGAGGAGACACTACCTTGCTCTGTTATTCGGTTGTGCATATGGCTGTGAGAAAGATGGCATCGTATTGGCCACTGATTAAGATGTGTACCCACTGATAACTCAGGCAGGAGAGGATTGGAAAAAATTTAAAATGAGAAAGTTACCCATTTTCATACCCAAGCCCAGAGATAACAATGTGTTATGTGTCTTTTCAGATATATTTCTGTGCATAGTTATATACCTGTAAGCATGCACACATATGTAGTGGATTTTTACACAAAATTTTCTCTGTAACATGCTTCTTCCTGAAAACGGTTCTTGAGGACTTTCCCGTGTTGCTGCCCACCTCCTTCTGCTTAAAGGCTGCACGGTGGCCCAGAGCTCAAATGCGCCAG